AACTATCATTATTTGCTGATGATATGATACTCTACACTGAAGATCCAAAAAACTCCACCAAAACACTTCTAGACTTAATTGCCAGATTCAGTAGAGTATCTGGATACAAGGTGAATGCCCAAAAATCAATAGCCTTTTTATGCACAAATAACAGACAGATGGAGAGAGAAATAAGGGAAAAAATTCCTTTTGCAATAGCATCCAAAAAAATGAAGTATCTAGGAATCAATCTAACAAAAGAAACAAAAGATCTCTACACTGAAAACTACAGCACTCTGAAAAAAGAAATTGAAGAGGATATAAAAACATGGAAAGATATCCCCTGCTCCTGGGTAGGAAGAATCATGGATTTTAGCTTATTGGAATTCTCTAGGGCTGGGGACTTAGCTTAGTGGCATGGCACCTACCTCTGCAAATGCAAGGAAGGTATTGAGTACAAAAAAAAAAAGTCTGACAGCTGCTGGTTTTCAAACTGTGTCAAAATCTAAGGTTCCACTGAGGACAGGGCAGGATGAATGGATAACAAGTCCCCCATTAAAGCCTCCACCCCTTCTTCAGCCACACAGTTCTTCTGTTTGTGTAACAGTTTCATGCAAACACTTTTTTAAAGTGTTACTTGAAAAAAGTTTTTAGAAAAGTACTGAAAGTCAAAGTCCCTCATTTGACACATGCACCACCGCAGACTCAGAGAAATCACAACTTGGCCAAAGTCACAGAGCCAATGGGTCAGGCAGAAATTGGCTCATAGTTGTCTTGCTGAGCCTGGAGTTCTATACAGTTACTTCTCTCATATTCAGGAGAGATTAAATATTCTTAAATCACCTTAGAAAAAATATGTAAAACTGTCATGCAACTAAATAATGCTCAACATGAGAAGTTAAAAGTTGCTCTCTAATAAACTGAGTTCTACAGTTATAAATATAGAAAGCATACAAATTAATATGGGTTGTTAGTAGAACATGGAACTTGAAGGAGAACATCATAAGAACTGGTTTACTCATATCATTCAACAAATAAATTGTCCTTGTTTGGGGTTATTTAGAGCAAAATTACAAATAAAAATAGATTTCTCTTTACCCTCTAGCATACATCGAGCTGTTTCTCATCTGACTGGAGATATACAGAGACCTGGCTTAATTTGAATCTTAGTCCTGGCAGAAGTGCCAGGGGAAGCAGCATATGGACTTAAGGCTCTTTTTACTTCCCTCTTGCAGGGATGTGCTGGCAGCATGAAATCGGGTCTGCTGTCTCTGAAGTGAGCAGCTGCTGCTGGGACAGATGCCAGGTGCTTTTTCTTCCACTGACAAGTGTGTGCCTAAGTGTGTGATCCCTGAAGCACTCACGTGCCCACATCTGCCCAAGACTTATGTCCTAGCAACAAAGCTACAATGTTGATCCCGATCTATCAGACCTATGTTCTGAGTACAGATGGACAGAGATTCGTTTTATTCCACCTCATTGCAGTTCCAAGAAGAGAGATGATGATATAACCTTTATATCCATGTTTTCTTCTACCTTGACTTGAAATAGCCTTAATCTAGGTGCATACATAGATCAATGAATGCACGCAGCTAGCACAATTTTGAAAAGGAGAAGTTAAAAATGTGTATGAGGAAGCCCCAGGTCTTCTCTTTGGACTCTGCTTTCAGTGCTCATCCATCAGACCAGTTATTTCTATACTGTAAATATTTAAGTACCACATCTAGGTCAGTTACACTTACTGAATGAGTCAACAAGGTGCTCTTGAAGAATGAGAGCTACAGGAACTTCAAAAATTGTAAATTGGTTTCCTTTCTTTCTATTAACACGTATTAGTGTGATCTTCACTTAGCATGTGTAAGTCAACTAACTAAACACAGTATTTCATCAGACTGACCTCTCCCCTGGGATCAAACCCATGCCCTCATGCTTGAGAGCCCAGTGCTCTACCACTGAGCGGCTTTCCCTGCCCAGTATTTCACCAAATGAGCAATTAAATCAAATCAGAATTAAATCATAAATAGGAGATACAAAGGAAAGATGATACCATCACTAACCTCGGTCAGGTTGCTCAACACGCTGTTGTTTGAAGGCTGTGGAAGAAATCTGCTTTGGAACGCCAAACTATGGTCAAGATTACTGCCACATGGATATTGTAGGACAGGTCTTGTACTAAGAGTGCTCAGTAATGTTCTGTGTTGTCGTTTGTCCAACAGATGTTTGGTTTGGACCACTTCTAGCTTATCATAAGCCCTGGGAAGATTGTAAAAGGCAAATACTAAGTATCATGAGCAAGTGTGCTCATTGAGGTAGATGGGTGAGTTAACAGAGCATTCTTGAAACTTTTGGTACAAACAGTTACATGCTGTGCAACACAAAAAGTTACATTGCTTGAACAGAAGTACAGATGTATTGGGCATGAACATAGTGCAGTACAGACAGTTACATTGCTTGAACAGAGCAACCTGTGGCAAAAACATGGGGTGAGGTGGTGGGGGCTTGGCAACAAAGGCCTGCCCTGTTGTGCATTATTTCTTTATCACCTTAATCCTGAAAATGTATCATGGCGCACCAATCACAGAACAACTGAAATTGTTCTAGAGAAGTACATGTATTAGTAGTGGGATTCCGAACTAACAAGTCATTCTAACAAAGCAGGAAAGAGAGAAATGGCTGTCAGTGGTGTGTGGCTTAACAGGAAACACTGCTACTTCCTATAAGAGTTCTACATACAAGATTCCTGAGGAAGCCACTAGAAACACTTGTAGTTAAAGGATCACTATGAGAGATCATGGATAGGCTAATTAGCTTGACTGCAGTAGCCATTTCACTCTGTATATACATCTGTAATCCCAACACTCTGGGAAGCTGAGGCAGGAGGATCCCAAGTTGGAGACAAGCCTGGGCAACTTAGTGACCGAGACTGAGATCCTGCCTCAAAATAAAAATAAAAAAAAAGAAAGCAAGAAAAAAGAAAAAATTTACTTATATATTGGGGGGTGTGTGGGGTGTGGGCACAACATAGGAACAGTATGTTATACTACTTACATTTATACAACTAAAAAATAAAAGCGAAAAAATGTTAGAAGTCTTTGTATTTAGTTATCCAGGTTAGGGGTTTAAAAAACCATTTCTTAACAATATTTTCCAGCAGTTCCCTTCCTACCTGCATATACACTCCATTACCTGGCAGCAAAACTAATTTATTCAGAGCAACCACCTCCAGGGGAGGAAATTGTGGGCTCAGTGATCACAAAGAACCAGGGCCACTCCTGGCTGGACACCCGATGGAGGCATTGCAGGTGGGCCCAACTCTTCTGTCTTCCACCAGCCCCTCACACTAATTCACAGTAGTGAGCTATACTTCTGCTCATCCCTGTGTGAATCTTTCTCTATTTCACAAGTACAACTTTAGGTTGAGTAGAAGAAATACACAGCACAGTTTGTCTCCAGGCAGCCTCTAGTGATAACACCACAAATCACAGTCAAGGAAAGTTATTTTACCAAGGGACAGAATGTGCCCAGAGGAGCAATATTATGTTGTTATCTTCCAAACCTAAAGTTGGCAATAATTCTACTTAAATGAATGCCAACAGTCTGAAGTATAAAGCATCAAGAATAGCTGAATTACTGCATGAGAGTACCTAGATAAGATTACTAAAACCAAGCTGGATATGGTGGTACAAAGTTATAATCCCAGAACCCCAGAAGATGAGGCAACAGGATTGCCATGAGTTGTAGGCCAATGTAGGCTACATAGTGGTTCAAGGCCAGTCTGGACTACAAAGTGAGACCTTGTCTGAAAAACCCAAAAAGCAATAAAAGGTGCAAGAAATACAAACTTCCCCAGACTAACATTTTGAAGATAAATTCAGTTACTAACTTTGTTTTCCAAAATTATTGTCTACTTAGCATTCATAACCTACTAATTTCAAGAACTTGTCTCCAAAAATTATGCTTTAGAGACAAATTAATGAGCTTAACTTACTTTCTATTATTCTGTATTGACTTACTTGTTTAGTTTACTGAACAACATATTTATAGTATTGAGTTCTTCTAGGTAGAGTTGTTTGTATGTTTCCAATTGTACTTTAGTAGAATTTTCTTGAATTTTCATTTTATAGACCTCTGATTCCAGGTCTTTAATTCTGAGTTCCATTTGTCTTCTCATGGAAGCATTATTAGTCTCTCTTAATTGTTCCAAATTTTCTGGAGATGCTGCTCTTGCCTAAAGCCGATCAAAGGATTTTATTTTAAAAATAATTAAACCCCAATACAAAAGGTGATAAAAATACACAGAGAAAGTTTCAGTTCAAAATTTTATTACAGTAAAAAACGCAATGCCATGAATCCACTTCAAAATACTTCCCCTCCCTTTGAACACCTCCTCTTGTAATTCTTGCCACTTCCCAAAGCAGTTCTGGAAGTCCTCTTGCATGAGTATCTTTACAAGGTGTGATTGCAAACACAGTCAATGCTGCTGCTCATTGCCATCCAACTGGAAGGTAGACTCAGAATATTCTGAGGTGTCCTCATCAACCTTGGCCCCCAGATCTGGCACTATGTGACTAGATTAAATATTTTGAATCGGCTCAGGACAACAACACAGCCATGACAGCACAACTAAGGGTGCTAATGAAAGAAGATTCCAGAAGTGCTTCAGAAAGTGGCAAGAATGATGGGACAAGTATGATCAAAATAAGAGAGAGTATTGTGAGGGGGACTCAAGGCAGTGTTTTTGTATTGTGATAAAATTTTTAAAATACTTAAAACATTCATTGCATGTTTTGATCATAACTCAGGGATATTTGGTATTATTTTCTTTAGTTTTGAGCAAATGATTCAAAAAGGAATTTTACATATGTCAAAAAGATACTGGAATTTATCATCAATACAATCTGCATTTAATCTGAATTACAAAATTTTTTCTTTTTCTTTTTCTTCGTGGTGCTAGGGATCCAACCCAGCACAAGGCAAGCACTCCACTGCTGAGCTCCAGCCTTAATTTTGAATCATTCTTAGCAGCCATGCAATCTGATCATTCAAATAGAAACAATTTAAAAACTTAAAAACTGAACAAGGTGACAGCAATTTAAGAGTACTGTACAACTGTCACACAATAACAGTTTCGTGTGCATTAGTCTTGAAAAATCGAATGATTCTCTAATTAATCTCATTACTCTGACAGATCAATTTAGTTAACATAAAACAGAAACATTCAATCAAAGACACAAGATGTCATCTTCTCTCTAGAAAACCCACAAGACAAAAGTTATAAGGGAAGTAGAAGAAATACATGCAATGTAATCTCTCAAAATATAATTTTCAGTGAAATTATTTAAGCACATTAAAGATAAGTAAATTAACCTGTACAACCAGATGGACTTCTTTCAATTTTTTCTACTAAATCCTGCATGACTCTTTCTCCAATTTACTGATTACTGATCTACTTGGCCATGTTCTACCACATTCTTTTCTATGTGACTTCTCAAGCTAACTACTTCTTCTTCCAACTTCTTTCCATTTTTTGCTAGTGTTTCACATTTCGGGTTTTTTTTGTTTTGTTTTGTTTTTTGTTTTTTTGGTACAGGGGATTGAACTCAGGATCTTGCACTTACAAGGCAGGCAGCAGCACTACTGAGCTAAATCCCCAGCACTAACATTTCTTTTGCATATTTTTCAGAGATAACAACTGCTGAAGAAAATCATTATTTTTACCCAGATGTAGACAGCTGGACAATGCTGTTTCAAGTTTTGCTGTAAGATAATCAATGCGCATGAAAAGAATAACACCAGTTGGTAATGAAGGAAATAGGATGAAAATAGTCAGAATCACAATGTCTGACATAAGGTTGGGGATTTAGCTCAATTGCACCACATGTGCTTCACAAGCACAAGGTTGTGAGTTTGAACCCCAGTACCAAAAAAGAAAAAAAAATCTGAAATAAATTCACTTAGAACAAAACATAATCCTACAAGTTTTTAGAAGTTATTACCTTGAATTACTCAGAAAACCAACACATTTAAAACCACCAGCAGCCACAAACATACATTCTTTACAATCATTGTTCTGTCACGAAACATGTGCACTTGATCTTGAATTCTTTATTTTTCTAGGATTGTTTCCTTTGTTTTTCTTAAAATGACTCTGAGCCATCTGTTAGTAAGTAGTACAACCAATAAATGCTACCAGAGTAAGACTTTGAAAATGTGACTGCAATCAATGACTATGTAATGTATGGATGTTAGTCATAAGCCTTTTCCTCAATTGCAAATATTAACTGGAATTACATTCTAGAATGTCTCTGGATTGGACATATATAGAAGCAGAAAGGACCCCGAAAATAAAGCAAACTCAAAGGGCTTCAAAAGAACTGTTAGTGGAAGATGAGTGGCTCTCACAGAGGCTGAGGGGAAGAGCTTGGAGGCAAGTGAAGGAAATGATACTGATACCTGAAGAGAGAGGACCCTCGCTACATAGCTGCTGAAAGATGAGCTACAGAGAAATTTGGTGAAAACCAGGATTTATTGAGTTCAAATATCTGCTTCTCATTTCTAGCCTCTCGTCATGTCAAAGAATGCTAAAAGTTTTACATAGTAACATTCATATATAACACTGCCAAATGATGCTAAAATAAATGGCTTTTGGGATCAGATCAAATTTGGTGGGCTGCTGGGAACACATGGATGAAAGATGAAGCCAAGGCTACAACTACAAAACCCTTGGTAAAACTACAGAAAGATTTAAGGCTGGGCCTCAAATGCCCTTAAGGATTTAAGGGCCCAAAAATCTTAATGGAATCACCTTAGTAGAGCTTCACAGGAAGCTCAGGATGTAAAAAAAGATTTATTTGTAAATGTAGCTTCTCACAGGGCATGAATCCAATAAAACTCACACAAAATACAAAACTGTTAGGAAAATGAGGTAGCTTGAATTTACCAGCTTGAACCAAGAGACAAAACAGTAAACATGAAAGAAGACTTTGGAAATTGGAAGTTCTACATTTAGGAAGCAGGCTGAGAAAACCAGTCTTCTTTGACTGGATTTGAGAACAGTTTTCCAGATATGACACCAGAGGAAAAAAAAATCGATGAACTAGACTTTGTTAAAATTAAATATGCTTGAAAAGGCACCACACCAAGAAAGTGAACGGGTAAGCTACTGAGTGGCAAAAAGTGTCTGAAAATCATGTATCTGACAAGGGATTTATGCCTAGGATGTAAAGGACTTATAATTTTAAAATTAAAGAGACAATCCAATTTAAAAACAGAGAAAGAATTTTAAAAGGCATTTCTCCAATGAAGATGTACAAATAATGACCAGTTAGCTTGTGAAAACATGTGCTCAACACCATCCTCTTAGTCAACAGGAAAATGCAGGTGAAAATCACAATGAGATGTCTCTTCAATAGAATGGAATCTTTTTTTTCCAGCAGAAAGGACTGTGTGTGGCAAGGATGCAGAGAAACCGCACCTCTCATAAGATGCTGCTGGAATGTGAAATGGCACCACCACTCTGGAAAACAGACTGGCGCTGCTAGATTCTCAAAGGTTTAGCACAGAATTATCACATGACTCAGCAATTCCACTCCTAAGCCAAGAGAAAAGAAAACATGCAACCACAAAACCTTGTACATGTATATCCATAGCAGCATTAATAACTGTCCAAATGGAAACTATTCCAAAAGTCTATCAAGTGATGGATGAAAAATCCAATAAGATGATATTACTTAGAAGAGGAAATTAAGAACTGACATCTGCTGCAACACGAATAGATCTTGAAAACATGCTAAATGAAAGAATACAATCCAAAAAAGAAGCCAGAGCACATATCTGTGAGACGATTTGATACAAAAAGTCCCGAAGAAGAAATTCTACCAAGTACATCAGTGGTTCTCTAAGGCTGAGCAGGGAAGGTGATGGCTAAAGGGTCTGACTTTTCTTTGTAGGGTAGAAGAATACTCCAAAACTGTGCTGATGACTGCTAACTCAGTGAATATACTAAAAGACGCCATACTGCATACTTTAAATATCTGAATTTCAAGGTATGTTAATAGTATTTCAATAAACAAGCTCCACTCACAAATTCTTTTGGTACACATGATTTGGGGTCATTTAATGATGTATAGGCTTTATATCATTAGCTAGGTTGAATGACAGAAGTATGTCTTTTTAATAGAAAAGTGGTACATTTTTCATTGATATCAAGTCTACAAAGTTAAAAAAAGAACAAAACTTCATTTCACTGCTCAACACACTGAGAGATTTATAGTTCCCCAAACTAAGTAATTAAAAATTACCTTGTGCATTAACATGTGAAATGGAATATCCAATTCATTGGATTTAAAATCTCCATGAAAACAGAAGTCTCCATTTTCCTGCTCATTTAACTTTGCTTTTTTCATTTTTAAAAGTTAGTTAAATCTGCAGGAATGTATGAAGTAAAGTTTTGAAAGTGTTGTTTAAACAGATATTATGTTCTATCATAAAAGAAACAAATCTAGAAATTATGATCCTCTTTCATTTGTTGTTTTC